TTACGAAGTCCCCCGACCCCCCAAGTACAACCCTACTTATAAACCCTAAACCCTAAACCCTAAACCCTAAACCCTAAATCCTAAATCCTAAACCCTAAACCCTAAACCCTAAACCCTAAACCCTACTTATACTAGCAAGCCTACTAGGTGAAGCGCTGAGCCAAAACCCGAGGGCCCCAAGCTCCAAATCAGACAGACATAGGATCTTCAGGTAGAGTAAGGTGGGGCTTAGAGGTCAGGGTGGTGCAGAGTTTAGGGCTCAGGGGATTGTTTAGCCTTTGCGGTTTATCAAGCTAAGCTTGATCTGATTTTTGTCTGCGCCCTTATATCATATTCTATACTCTCGCAATCATCCACGGCACAGCAAATGCCTCTTGCAGACTCGAAACCGTTGAACTTAATCCGTCTCTAAACCCTAAACCCTAAACCCTGCAGTCGACTCTGAGACCAAAGATCTGAATCTCTATAATTGTGAATCCTAAACCCCTTTAGGGCTTAGGGTGACCCCTAGCCCTAAACCCTGAACCCTAAACCCTAAACCCCTAGCCCTAAGCCCTAAACGTGTCAAAGGCTTCCTGGCGACGTGATGCTTCTCTCAAGGGCTGGCTACAGAAGGCTTCCGGGATTTGAGGGCTTTCGGTTTAGAGTTTAGGAGTTTGGGTTTAGGGTTTAGGGTTTCGGGTTTAGGGTTTAGGGTTTAGAGTTTAGGGGTTTGGGGGATCCTATCCAGCTTATTGTTTAAGTTTAGGGTTTAGGGGTTCCTGTCGGGATTTCGTCTAGAGGCTTTTACAGGGTTTTATGGAGCGTTTGCTTCCGGCTTTAGGGTCGACAAGGGTTTTACAAAGTTTACGGGGGAGCTTCCCTACCAATACCCACAGGGAATACCCACAGGGGGGTTCCGGGGTTTAGGGTTTGCAGGGTTTAGGATTTGGAGTAGCTTCGGGAATTTAAGGGCTTTCCGGTCTCTCTATGGGGGCTCTATAGGGGTTCAGTTCTTTATATGGGTTTCGTGGCTTTTGGTTCAGGGTTGAGGGCCTATCAGGGTTTACGGGTTTAAGTCCAGGGTCTAACGATTGAGGCCTGAATCATCTATGAGCAAAAGTTCAGACCGAGAGCATGATCCCCCTGAGCCCTAAGCCCTAATTAAACTAGACCCTAAACCCCCAAAACCATGAGCTCGAACCCTATGCCAACACCCTAGAATCCAAAAACTCGTCCATTTTGACAACCGTTAATGGACATTAGCGTCTGCAACACTAAGTATGCCCGCCACTGCAACAGCGTGCGGGCGCATCTGCTGGAGTCATGAAAGATACAAGCTCGTTCGCGTTCTCGTCTGCAGAACCCTAGGCTTCCAAGGACCTTATAATTACGGCCCTAGACCCCTTAAGGACCCAATAATAAGGTCCCTGGAAGCCTAGGGGAAGCGATGAAGAAGCGGATGAGCTGGAGCAGTGCAACGACACTTTGGCAGACCGACGAAACCACGCGCATGCTTAATCTAGGAGCCTTAATAATTAGAATAGGGTTTTGGTGTACTATAGTTGTACAAGGAACCCCCAAAAAATAGTATAGGTAATAATTAAAGCCCCTATTATGCCTAAACCCCAAACCCTAAACCCTAAATCCTAAACCCTAAACCCTAAACCCTAAACCCTTGAGCGACCCTTTACCCTAAACCCGAAATCCTGCAGCCCTGGAGCTCTCGGCTTTCACGGGTTTGTGTGTTTTAGGTTGGGGTTTAGGGTTTAGGGTTTAGGGTTTAGGGTTTAGGTTTTAGGGTTTAGGTTGGGGTTAGGGTTTTGGGTTTCGGGGCCGGCTTAGTCTTTATAAGTTTAAGGTTCACGCTGGTTTCTACAAAGGCCCTGAGCCTGAAGCTACCATAACCTACTTTTTGTGTACGGACCCTATAAATTCCACATCAAGCTTTGTATAATAAGAACCTACAAACAAGTAGGCTATGTTAGTTTAAGGAACGGCCTATGCAAGGAGCCGCCCTTGACGCCAGAAAGCAAAATACATAAAGACGACCTGGGCCATTAGGAAGTGAAGCCCGGATCTTGAAATCCTGCTGCCGCCGCAGTACTGTAGTTCAGTTCCGTTTCTGAGAATCTGAGTCACTAGGCGGAGCTTCCTCAGATGAAGTATTTTTTTGGCACGTGAGCCTACCAGAACCCGGTACTTTTCAAATTCCACATCCCAAAGTCCCAAAAGCCGAAACCCTAAACGCATCAAAAACGCGTTCGGCGCTAATTATGCAGGCTCGCGTCGCCCTGAATGTGGACGTCATGGAAGAGCGCTTCGATGTTCGACGAGGCCGCCCAGAATTAGGATCTCTCTATTGGCTTGAGCCTCAATGCCAAAACCTAAACCCAAAACCTGAAGGTTTTTTATTTTCTTAGGGGCTGAGTAGGTAACCTTTAACCTTTTGGGGCTTTTATAATCCTACTAAAGTTGAAAAGGTTAACCTTTTTGGGGCTAAGGTACTTAGCCTCTAAGTTTTCGACTACGATCTATTTTGTGTGATGTTTGGTTTGGGGTTTCAGGTGGGCAGCTGGGTACTGCATTGCTCTAGAACAGACCCCAATTACCCGAAGGAATCTCCCTTAAGACATGACAGGTACCAAAGCCGTCTATAGTTGAAGTTCGGTAGGCATATTCCAACATGAGATGTCCCGGCGCCTTTTGAGCCTTAAGTCCTACTCTTAGACCCTAAATCCTGAACGCTAAGCCCTTGATCCTAAATCCTAAATCCTACACTCGTAAACCCCAAGCCCTAAACCGTTGTCAGACATCTGATTCCAGAGGCACCACATATAGTACCATCATGGAATTAGGTCCCAAAGACCATCCTTATTAAGGTTTTAGGGGCCTAATTCCATAAGGGTACCCTAAACCCTACACCCTAAACCCTAAACCCTAAACCCTGAAATGGAGCCTCTGGGATAACAGGAGGCGCCTCCTTTCTCCTCGTTCTGCTCCGTGGTTTGCAGCTGCTCCTGGAGTCGGAGAAGGCCCGAAACTTTGGGTCTAGGGTTTAGGGTTTAGGGTTTGGGGTTTAGGGGTTTAGGGTTTGGGGTTTAGGGGTTTAGGGTTTGGGGTTTAGGGTTTGGGGCTTAGCAGGAAGGCGCCTTCTCTTGCTGCCGGTGACAGGTAGCAACACATTCGCTGACTAGCTTGCGGCTTCCATTAGTCGCCATAGTTGCCAGCTTTGTAGATATTACACGTGTAAACTAATGTCCCCTTGTGCAATTGCATGGATG